TCGAAACGTCGGACAAATACACTCCTGGTCCCAGAGAACGTCTTAACTTCTTTTAGATTAAGGATCATTTGGACTGAGTCCAGAAATCAGCTGTGATTTATTGCATCGAATGGGATGAGCGCTCAACCACACATATTGATCAAACATGCCGCGAGTTGGCAATAAGAAAACAGAGGTGCAGGACTTTGGCGAAGCACGGTGAGTAAGTAGCACAGTTCGCTTTTCATCTGCGGCATGCTGACCATCGCTTTGGCAACGGCTGCACACAGAAAATGGTTTTGAGCAAAAAGTATAACTGCCTCGCAATTGAAGGCCTCCAGGTAATCTCTCTTGATAAGAAGACGAATCATGACATTGAAATGGCGCTCGCATACCAAGGCCTGTGTAGTCATTTGTAAAGAAGATGGTCCAAAGATCGCGATTAAATCACATGGGAGCCTAGGCATAAAGGACCAGATTGTGACTTTGCTATCGCTTTTCATGATGTAGTCATGGGTATGGGGTACAAATCGATGGGAATACATGAAGTCATTGACCAATCTCAAGTCACGTTTCACTAGGAAGGCTGGCTTAAGAGGCGTGATAATATTATTCGGAGTGTACCATAACCCAAAATTCTTATAGTTCCGTCAGGATACAATCATTTGAATGCACTTTTTCAGCCGCCTGTGGAAACTAAACGCTGTAAATAAAAATAACGAATTAAGTACAGTAAATTCTCTATCTCAATTGAAATTCAGAAGTGTGTTTTCAGTTCGAACAAATTGCTTAGGTTGAGTTGGACTATTGATAATTGTACAGCCTAATCTTAATATACTTCGGTAACGTCAGGATGCCAGCTTTTGAATGAGCATCTCTGTGGCCACCTGCAAAACCCATATTCTGTAAAAATGGCTACTCAAGTAGTATGCATTTTTTCATTAATTTTCATTGCATTCCTTCATTCTACTCGTTTGGTAGCAAATCACGTCTTCTTCTTCTTCTTCTTCTTCGAATTTTATACTCGAAGAAAAGGTACCATTCGGTTTAAAAAGTTTCTCATCATGCAATTTTTACGACCGTGAAATGTGCATTCATAAAGTACCGTATCTGTCTATTTATCAATGCTACTTATAAATCATACAACTTTGTCTACATCCGTTGCAAAATTTTATGAGAACAATGTGGCTTCTCTGTAACACTACAGGAAGAAATGTATAGAGCATGTTATTTAGAGACCTTGAAATCAAGTATAACGGCTGGAAGGGTTCACAATTATTTGAAAATTAAGAAACCCTTTTTAAAACCCAAAGATACCCCTTCTTCAAGTATAGAATTATAAGAAGACGTAAATTTCTGCGAAAGGACTAAATGAATGCATTGGTGCTTTCAGTTTTTCCTAAAATATATTTGAATTTATAAAGACATTGAAAATAAATGAGGAAAAGTCATACTACTTACGTAGTCCTTTTTTTACAGAGTATACCTTTTGCAGGCGGTCGAAGGGGACCTTTGTCAAAAGCCGGCATCCTGACGTGATGGAAATATATTGAGATTAGGCTGTATGATTATCGTCACCACATTCATACTTAATTTATAGGTTCGGATTGAAAGCAACTCTAAGAATTTCGGTTGACATCGGAACCAGTTCGTGTGTGGCACGTGTGGATGGTTTCGGATGCGTCGTCGGTCACTGCGCCCAACCCCGCTTCCACTTGTCCTGCCCCTGTATTACCACCGAGCCCAGATACTTGGAAAAGGTGGGGATGTGGTCCGCGGATACTGTGCCAGTTCACCTCACTATCAAGGGTTCCACACACACCAGTCACCGGTGCTGAAACCACACATTTTGGGGCACGCAGCGGACGCCATCGCTGCAACGGTCGAACTGTGATAATAAATCTCCCGAAAAATTACCTCCGTGAATTTGGCCTGTGATTGGCTGAAAACTAAAGATTTGCCTCAATGAACAGCCTCGTCTGCTCAGTAGCATTTGTCTATCTTTATAGGTAGAGCTGAACTTAATTTGATACTCCAGATACTGACACACAGTGGCATGACTTACAAGAAACCTCAATTAATGCTGCTCTTTTACATTCTCCAGAAGTCAGATGCCTGGCAGTGGGCTGTTTTGAAAGGTACAGAACTCACAATTCTCTCCAGTCAATTTTTAAGAAGTTTTAAAATAGCCCTGTAATCCAAAACAGAGCATGTGATTGCCCTGGCGCAGACGATGGAAAAAAATTTGAGAAGAGTCTGCCGACGTGTCTAAATGATTTTTTCCCTAGGACCAGACCTATCTGAGTTGAATCAATGTGAAACTGAACGCACACAATTTTGTGTTTGAGGGAAACACGGCTATTCACTATTCGCACTAAAACGTATAACTTCGCATTGGAAGTCAGATGCGATGGTAATTAAGTAAAATCCTGAGTCACTGTGTTGGATTTGTAAGGACCCGCCACACTGTAACTGCAGAAGTAAAATTCGGGGGAGGAGGGTGGCAGGGACTACGGAGAGAGCATTTTAAGTAATTTGAACTCAGCTTTGCGGTGTTTGTACATACATAAGCCATTATTTTTCTACAAGATGCATTCAAATGGCTGAGGAGCGAAATAACTCCTTAAATACAAACTGACAAGTGATTCGAGAAAGCGTGGCATTACAGACCGGTGCACATTCATGAAATAAACTTAGATCTCTGTAGGGCTCTCTGAAGAGTTCAAATATATTCAACAGTCAGCCGTGAGAAGTCGCACATCCACTGGACATTCGCTCAGAACAAATGATCCCATAGAAAGGCAAATTTTGGTTTCGGTGCCTTTGATCAGGTAACAGTAAACTTCCTACTGTGGTAAAGGCCAGGGTCTAGTGAGGGCATGAGATAGTTCAGAGGCGTTTCCGAAGCGCATAGTCTGGACTGAGCTCCTTTATCTACAAGGCTAGCTTTTAAGGTCGAAGTTGTTGATACAAGCCAAGGGTCCAGTTCTAGATGAATAATATCCAAAAAGCTGAAACAGATAC